TCTGTAGTCAGGTTATCAACACAGGCCAGTGAGTTGGAAAAGGACTGGCAAGTCCCAGTGGCACAGCCACAGCAAGCCCCTCTACCTGGATGTGTTTCAAAACCAGCAGCAGACCTCCTCTGCCCAAATACAGATGTTCCTTGGCCTCTTCCACTGGGGGATTTGAACTCTTACAAGGAATTACAGCTCTGACCTTTCTGTCAGACAAGGTCTGTGCTTGCCCAGGCAGATTCATACCCTGACGCTGCCTTCGGCTGCAGAGCAGTTAGCAATTGCTCCATACACATTTTACACTGATCCAAGAACTCCTAGAGAAATGTTTTGTTCATTTGTTTTCACATCACTGACCTTTGCAGTGACAACTCAGCAGCTCACAGAGTTACCCATCCATGCAGTCCTGGCTGGAAAAAGTTTGGCTGGTGTTCCACAACAGGAGAGCATCACAGCTGAGTGGAAGGGTGCTTTTCCCTCTCCACTTTGAGTCAGGTTTGGGGAGGGTGTCTCTAATAGAGATGTGGCAGAACAGAAGCCAGCGAGGCTGAAAGCCACCCCATTCCCACTGCAGCATAACTCTCTCCCACTGCAGCCTTCCAAATTTCTTCTGGATTCAGTTCCATGACTAATTAGAGATGTAAAATGGTAAAAGCTACAGAAAAAGATCCAAGAGCACTCAGCACTGTATTCACTCCAAGGACTCTCTTGCAGGCTGGCAGCCAGGGTCACCCCATCCCCAGACAATTTTCCTCCCTCTTTCCCAATTTTGAATCTAAACCAAGGACTTAGTGAGTGACTGCCCATCTACTGCAGCTCAGAGCTGGCTGCTCTGTGGGGAAAGGACAGCCTCAAATGGAAGGAACTGAGCTCAAACATCAGCTCCGAGTGCCTCTGCTGATTTGGCTCTAAGGGAAGTAGGACCAGGTTCACATGGAGGGGCAGTAACCTTCAGTAGCTTGAAAACCAAAAGCAGACAAGTTTGCAAACAGATGACAGAGTCTAGCTAAGGCACTTGCTTTAATAAAAGATGCTACGAACACCTAAAAAGCTCAATTTTTCTCCATCTCTTAGCCCATCCCTGTCCTATTAGTGTTGTGACATCACAAGAAAAGCAGGGATCTGGGTTGGATAATTCACCAGAGAAAAGAACTGTCTTTTCACTAGGAAAAGAGCTCCATAGCTGCAGTATCTCTGCCCAGCACAGGAAACAGGGAGCCTCCAGCAGGAGGGAGGGAGGGAGGGAGGGAGGAGGCAGCCCCAGAGCAGGAGACAGCTCAGACCTGGGCTAAGGACACTCAGTTGCAGCTTCACTGCAGAACATGACCAGTGTTTGGATTGCAAAGGTACTTAGGTATCCAGAAGTACAACTTGGCTGCCTAATTTGATTTTCAAAAGAAAATTAAGTGGATTAGGGGTTAGATTTTTTTAAGGGATTTAATTTCCTACAGGGACAGAGCAGTACCCAGTGGGAGAGTATTACAACTCAATTAGGATTATGACAAAGAGCTTATGTTTGTTTTCCCTATTCACACAATTTATAAGGGGTCGAAGGAATTTTGTATAAATAATCAAATTATAGCAAACCTAAAAACACTTGGTTCTTCTGATAGATATCAGTTGTATGAAACTTCAGGCCAAACAAAATTTCAGAATGTGATCACTACCAATAAAAAAAAAAAATATTCAGAGAAGTTCTGCTGCAGCAATTACTCTAACCACTTGGGGTTTCTATAAAATATTGGTATTTCACTCAAGGCATTTACCCTCAAAATCTAAAAATAACCAAATACTGACAGTTAATTTTTATTCTTTGTTCTTGTTGTAAATATCTCAAAGGAATCTCAGTTTTTGGTCTCTTTTTTACCCTCCCTGGTGGGGAATATCTTACTGCATTCTTCTACAATGAAGGCAGATTCTCTTGGTTCTCCAGTCCTTGTTATATTCTGAAACAAAAAACTGCACTGAAATCCACTGCCCCAAGTATTATCTCATCTGATTTTGGAAGGAAGGATAACAAGCATAATCCTACCATTTTTCTGAAATCCTAAATTCTCCATATTCATGAACAATTGCCAGCAATAAATTCAGAAAACATCCACCTATCTGAAAATGTAACTTTTACCAAAGTTGGTTCCCATGCCAAAAGCTTTAATAACAGAGACTGTGACAATCTTCTACAGACGTAGGAAGGTAGAACTCAGAATCAGGTATTAAGATCTCTCACAGCTTCTTGCTACTTCTGTCTAAAGCAAAACCATTACAGTGTAACCCTTTATTTCCTAATGAAATACATTTGGGATTAGAAGCTGACAGAGGCTGGAGCCAGGACTTTGCCCCATGGCTGTTTAGAAACTTCAGTCTGGTTAAAGAATTTCATGACACTGATTTTATACAAATGCTCCTTAAAAGCTGAGAAGTAACAGCATAACTTTAAGAATTTCATTTTCACTGTGGAATGGTGCAAAATTCCTCCCCTGAGGCAGGCGTGTTACCTCATTGAATTAAAAACCAATAAATTTAAAGTAAAAAATAAAAGAAAGGGGGAAAGGTGTAAGAAACTGGTGGAAGGGCACTGAAGCTGTAGTTGTGACAAATCATGCTGGCACGTAGTCCCAGTGGTGATGAGAAATTGTTCTGAGTGTTTTATTTATTTTTTTACATGGCAGTTACATGGCAGAACAAGAAATGCACTTGAGGCAAAGTTGTAGAATACGGTTAAATTAGTAGGCTTATTTTATTAATACCCATGAAAATATAGTGATGAGAGAGAATTATTCTACTGCACAGCCAGGGTAAGAACACACAGTAGCTTGTGTCCCAGCCCTGCAGCCTGTCACTTGTGCTCAGTGCCTGTGAGTAAACACCCCATGGCTTAACACAATATCCTAAGGTAGTATTTCTGTACTGGGAATTACATACATCGCTTTTTCTTACCATAATGGATAAATCTAGTGACCTTTATTTACAGTATATCAAATCCAACAGACTGTTGTCCATGTTTTGGCTTTGGAATGATGCATGTGTGTCTTCTGCCTTGTACCCTCATGATTAGGTAAATGACTTTGAGTCAATTAAACATGCAAAACACACTTTACCAAGGCATATTCTTTAACAGAAACTGAACTCCAATGTCATTCATCCCCCAGGCAGTATTTGTAGCCAGCAGAAGAAACCTAATGTGCACAATTCTCTTGATAAGAAGAGTGAGAATTAGAAACTTGGAGGTTTACTTAAGCAGATTCAAGTAGCCCTGGAAACAGGTAACTAATGCCAGGCAAACTTGCATGCTTCAGCTCACAGTGAGTTCGTAAACCAAATTCTGGGTTTCTGTTTGCAGGGTTTGGACTCTTGCCTGAAGAGACAAGTTAGATTAATTTAAATATCTGAATTGAAATTTCCCAGGAAAGACAAGAGAAAGCTGTTGTGATGGACAGAGGACAGAGCAGATGCAAACAAGGGCCCAGGTTTAAGTGAAAGAAGAAGGTTTGCACATTAAGTCACCGTGGGTACAGATTTCCTACCTGCCTTTAGAGGTTCTGCAAAGGGCACATGTGCACAGGAAGAACAAGACCTTAGAGTGTCACCCCAAGTCAGGGCTGATTTGTGGGGTGGGGGAGAGGCTGTTCATGGTTTGACTTTCATAGGTAAAAATCCAATAGTTGCAATTCTATCTGCTAGTTCCATTTTGGTGGGTTTGTATTTACTGAAGTTTTGATTTAGTCACATAAGGCATCAAGAAAGAGCAAATATACTGCAATTTGTGTGTGTGCTTTAATGTATTCTCATTTTGTTACCAGAGGGAGAAGAAATCTCATGGTAAGACTGTATTAATCTGTCTTCCTCCAATGCCATTAGTAAAATGTCATTTTGATTTGAACCTACTGTGACCTACTTGAGCAAAACATCCCCATGCTGCATACACTATATATCAGTGTGTGTATATATATATATATATATATATATATGTATCAGAGAACTTTTCATTAACTGTTAAACTGCATAATGGTGTTTATATATGAGCATGGCTTAATTAGCTACATAATGAAAAGTGCAATGAAAATGCAAAAGGATTTGGAAAGGCTGAGCTGCAAGACTAAACTGGATCTCAACACGTCCTGGGAATACTGAAGTTTGTACAAAAAGGTCAAAGTCTCACCTCCCATTGATAAATACAACATTACATAAATAAATGTTATGTGTGGGGTCCTTATCAGACAGACTCACAATTCACTGGAGAAGACAAGGCTGATGGATTGTTCCTTGGGCAGCAGCAGTGCTCTGCAGAAATGTGGTTCACATCTGCAGTTCAGCTCGCTTTGCAAAAAACAACCAGCACCCTTCTAAGTCACTGTGGTGGAAGAATGTTTTCACAGAAACATGTGTGTGAGCTGGAGAAGCTGCCCCAAGGCACAAAATGTCAACTGTGACAAGCATGAGGGAAAACATCTTTTAGTCCAAACTAGCAGATTTTTGTGATGAATGTGAATGGAGCAGATTCCTTAGAAGGGAAGATCCTTTTTGAGGCTGTAGCTCCTGGAGGAGATTATGCAGCTCAGGGACTAGTCCAGCAAAGGTAGGGTGGTTTGTCTGGAAATGCACTGACAGCAAGCTGAAAACAACCCCACATTTGTGCGGAGAAAAGGTTTTAGTCAGTAACAAAACAGGAGAAATTAAGAGAGAAATTAAAAAGCAGCCTAAGCTCAGCCACAGCAGTGGAACAATAAAAACCAAAACCAAACAACAAAAACTGTCTGCAATGGGAGGAATGAAAACAAGACCAAAACAACATCAATAGCCAATAATGCCCATGGCTACTGATTTGAGCATTGCAGGAAGGAAGAGCCTTCCTTGTGTGGTGAACTGTGGACAGTCATGGTCAGAACTGCTCACCAGGATGCATTTTCTCTCTGCCTAGGGACACAGTGTACAGAGATGCACTGGGTAAGAGAAACATTGGGCTGAGATTCCTCTGCCCTCCTCAATTTCAATTTTTTTTTCTCATTAGGTTCAGTCTTGTGTATATATATTTATGCAGTACATATTAGTCAACTTCTACTCAGTTTAGAACCAAGTGTCAAGATATTCAGGTACTGTTGCACTGGGTCAGAAGCACCAGCAAGTGCCAGACAGGAATCAATGGCTGTGCCTAAGCTTCCTTTCCAGGCTGAGCATGCAAATTCTTCTCCATCACTCTTCAAAGCCTAAAATATACCAATAGACCACTCCTTTATGAGAAGGCACGAGAAGACTTCACAGAGATTAGGTTATTTCTAGAAAATTTTAGAAGTTTGACAATGACCTTATAAATGTCCATGACAGCTTTCCAAGATCCTCATGTGTAACTCAGTGAGCTCTTCTAAGTTACTTAAAAAAAAAAAAAATAAACCTCACAAAAATGACAAAACAAATATGTACTGATAAAGGCATAGCAACCTCATTTAATTCTGTTCCCCATGTCTGCCAGATGCTAATTAGGAGCTGGTCCTCATGACATAAATGGGATCCAGCTTTGCACTTCATCAAAACACAAAAGGCCAAATTCCAACCCAAGGTTTCATTCTGTCCTACCCTAATGGCTACAAAAAGCTGCACAGCTGATATCTGGATCAGATTCAAAACTTTCCCAAGATGTATCTCTGTTTACATCCTGATTTTTGAATCCAGCTCATCTCTAATTATTATTATCACACAGAATGTCAGATCTCAGGCTATGCACTTTATATTTCTCCCTATAAACAATTAATTAGCTTGCTACAGCCTTTCTATAAATACCTTGTACGTATAAATTATTCTCATCCGCTCAGACAAACAAAAATCCCAGTTCTGTTTTTTGTCCTGTGATTTTCCCTAGTGGTCTGCAGCTGTCAGGCGGCCAGACACACATGTGTGCTTTTCATATTTGGAGATAAAATAAGATTATGGGGCTAATTGACAAAGTTTTTTGGATTGAGTTAGAGCTTGAGAAACCAGGTTTTCCCCAGAAAATGTCTGAAAGCAGCACTTCTATCAAGTTAACAGAGAGCTGCCTCCCACACCAGCTGAAATGCTGTTCACTGAGCAGCGTGGATTCCAGGGTTTGAGGCATCATGCTATTGTGGGACAGCATGCATATGGCTGCCCAAATTGTGCTGACAGTTTTTCCATACTCATCCTATAGGTGCTGACAGGCAAGATCAGGCCACAACTTCAGCTGTGCTCCCAGCAAGCCACCTCTTGTCTCCAGACAACTTCTTTGCTTCCCTGCACATTCACCTCCACGCTAGAGATGCCCAGGGAAAGTGTGCAGCCAGTCCTCTGCCATGTCAGGGCACATTGCTGTGACTTGGCTTCACTTACAGATCACCTGAATTTACACAAAACATCCTTGGCCACGTGCTAATGTGAGGTAGGCTTTGTGTGTGTATAAATATATGTATATTACATATATATATATATATTTCAATTGGACTAATAATTGCAACAGTCATGAATATACAACAAAGCAAACTTCAGTGTGAATCTACCAGAGGCAGCTACCAGAGCCATCCCTTTCAGTCTGTGTGCACCCCACTGTGAAATATGCACACTGAGCATCTTTGTCTCATGCCTGTGTTGAGGCTGAGTAAGAAATATTGGTAAAGCACTTTGGAAGATTGTCAAGCAGCGCAGCCAAGCGTGCTGCTCATTTTGAAGCACTAATCTCTATGTTTTTCCCCACAATCTAGCATACAATCATGATTGCACCCAGCCAAAGAGAAGAAACTGGGATTATTGGATATTTTCATGTTTCACTGCATAATGCTGCTATCAGAGTGGGAACAGCAAGACACTGATTGTCCTTGTTTTGTGGCCTTGAAGTTGAGGGAGCAATCACTCTGATTACCTTCCTCAGACCCAGCCCGGATGAGCAGAGCCTTCCTAAGCTTGTTGTGATTGTGCCACGCCATTAGCCAGTGAAATGCCCACAATCACACCAAGCATCTCCAAGAACAATCCCTTCACCTGCTTGTTGCTGCTTTTCAGAAAAACCACCCTGAAGCCTCAGTGGGTGACCAAACCTCTATCAGCAGTGCTTCAAACAGCCCTTTGAGCTCATGTGGGTGTCCAGCAACAGGCTTGGAGAGCCTGAATTCTGCTTTTGGCATTAATTTTGGGTGTCCTTGGGGCAAGTCCATTTTCCCTTGTTTCAAATTTCACTGAGGACAACTGTGTCATGAAGAATTAGCATCCAGGTTTGGAAATGGAAACAAGGATGGGGTAGTTACTGGTACTGGTTTAAGAGTGTGTGCATCATGTTTCAAGCACCTTTCCTCATTTCACACATTTCTGTTCATCTCCCTCACATAAGATGTTCCTGACACATGAATTTTCCTTCTGCTTTGTCAAATTAGTTACCTTTTGACATTTTACATTTTTGTATTCCAAGCAGGCCACCAAAGCAGTAATCTCTGTGAACTATAAAATTCTCATAATTCTGGAGATGAAAACCTACCTTCTGGTTTTCTATTTTGTATCACTCAATAATATGAAATGCCAACTTGTTTTGTTGACTCTTCGCCCCTTTTACTTCAGTTATTTAAGTGGCTTAAAGACTCATGCAATAAAGTCACATAAAGTCTCAATTATTCTTCTTTTATCTATGCTAAATTGTTTTAGTCAACAACTGACTTGGATTCACTTTAAGTGTGATTTTATCTGGTTACATTTGCTCTTGGAAGTTATTGCTCTTCTCTCATCCATGCTTTGACCAATACTAATCTACTCTGGATTTCATTTTCTGGGCATCCCGCAGAGTTCAGAACATTATTGATATTCAGGATTCGTCTGTTCTAATTTGAGTTTCTCCTAACTATGACTGCAGACAAAGGCAACTTTATTGTAGAGAAACATTAATTGGAAATAGAAAAGTATGACTTTCTTAGATTGTGTTAAGAATTCCTCTCCCTCTCTCCCCAAAGCCAAGCTGAGCTGTTCTCTGTGTCAGGTTATATACCCATGACTAAGACCTGGGCATGTCTGAGCCTCTCCAACGACAGCACAAATCCCAAGCAGATAGAAAAGCCATAATTAGCAGATGTTGAGTTTGTATGAGCTGGTAACTGGGATAAACCACATCATCCCCAGGCAGGCTTTGTCTGTCAGTGCAGCCACCAAGATTTGAACTAAACAAGAAAAACGATTTTTTTTTCCAAACAACAAGAAGGAGAACACAGTGGACAATCATTCTAGGAACCTTGCTGATGAGGCATCATATGGAAGCAAATACGTGAATACACAAAGCAGACCAGAGGCAGTGGAGAAACTCAAGTAATTGACTCATTGATTAAAATATATGGGAAAAAAAAAAAGACAAGTTTGTTTGGTTTTTTAAATTCCATTAGATCTCCATGTGGGAGAAAAGAGAAGGTGGGGTCACTGAACCAACACTGCTCTAGCACAAAACCCACATGGCTCAGCAGGGGAGGGACTGCTGGTTTCCATACATCCATCTTCCATCCTATTAGAAAGGAAGTTAGGATTAAATCCATCCTCCAGCCCCCACACAGTGCTAGTGTAGAGTTTGAACTCTGTTTTCTCAGAAGCAGGGAAAAATAGAAATGCCCTGGACCTCAAAAGAACAGCCAGCTTCTAGGGGAACATTTCTTTATTAATAAATGTCAGCCCATTATTAGAGCTCACATTATTATCAGCATCATTATTAGGAAAGTATAAATTATGGTGAAATTCTTATTTAGGGAGAAACCTTTGAAAAACTGATTTTTCCTTTCAGAAACCATTTTATTTTTAAAGAAATACTTTAATGTTATACTCTTTTTAATTAAACAGTAATCTACATATCTCTGTAGGTTTTCTTTCCAAAATATGGGTTTCAAAAACAAAAAATCAGTTTTCTTTGTTTCTCCATAATGAATAAAAATTCCCATCTAACTCTTAATTGATGTTTAACTTCACACATCTCTCTGCAGCACCAGTCTGCAGGAAAATCATGCTGCAGCTGAAGGTGAAGAGCATTCTATAGGTGTTACATCAGTATGACACACTGAGGGTGTGCTGGGTCTGTAAAGAACCCAAAGTGGTGCTCCTATTCTCAGTAACATAACTAAAAAATAGTAAATGTAAATGAAACATTTCCCTATTACAGTAAATGATCATCTGTAATTTCTCCATTTATTCTGCCTTTTTTTAATTCCTCGATTTACTTTTTTCTTTTTCTCCTAGTTCCTCACCTTACAAATGACATTATGTGAACACTCCTTGCACTACTCTGAATATCTGCTTGGCAGGCCTGTGAGGACTTCTTACCCGTCCATACAACCTTAGCATTGTTGTGAGAGGTTTAGATTGTTACTAACACAATAAAGTGTGAAAATGAATTATAATGGTATTATTACTGCCTTTGGATTCCCTGGTGCAGGATCTGTACTGCATTTTTTGCAACTGCAGAGTCAACCACTTCTATTAATAAAGGTAAATTTAGAAATCAGTATGCTCACTCATATCAAAATTCTTATTTTGTGAGCAGGTTTGTTTTCTCCATAGTAGTTTGTTTGTTTTTTTTTTCTCTATTATTTTCCTAAATCTTTTCCCAGTGTTAAAATATTTTATAAATAAATGGTTTGACATTTTCTCTGGTACGTACCTATACCCCAAAGAATTCTTTAATGGCTGTTTATGTCTCAGAGAAACTGGTGTTAAAGTGCAATTTCTCAAGTAAGCAACATGCTGATGCTCAGTAAATGATACAGATTATTTTAGATAGGAGTAACTAAGCTGGGTAATTCATCAAACCCACCTGACCTGACAACTCCTTTCATTATTTTACATCAGTAATTGAGATGCCAGAACGTGTGATGATGATGACCTAAGATGACAATATCAGTCCACTTCAACCACCCTGCACGTGCTCATCGATGAGTGATGCTGCAGCATCACACACAAAGTCCTCTGCTGCCTTTCCAGAGGGTGAGACAGCTCCAGGGATTAATGTCTGACTTCACCTGAACTCTTTTTTTTGCTATCATAAGCAATGAGGTGCCCCAGGAGCTGTCCTGGAGGCAGCAAAGTGCCAAATGCAGCCACAGATATTCAGAATACACTACACTTAACGGTGAAAAGTTTATTTCAGAGAGAAGAACTGATATCCAAAATTTCTGCTGCTACAGACACCTTTAATTAGAAAGCTTGTTTTACTTCCTGAATATTCAGAGAACTTCACACTGGCTTCAAGCTGGTTTCATTTTCCAATCTCATACTACAGCAGGAGCTATGCATAAAACGACAAAGAAGTTTTATCTGAGTGTTTTGCTAGAGCTAGAACTGCACTTTCCACAGTGAGGTGTAACTCTGGAAATATTTCCCCACGGCAATCTCTGCATTTACTGGCA